CTTATATATCAAATTTATACAGCCCTCTGATCCCCACCATAAAAAAAAAAAAAAAAAAAAAAATACTCCGTAGATAAAATATCAACATTCTACAGAAGCCATACCGAGTACATTCACTATAATGCATAAAGAAACAGCATTAATTACCGATCTATTGTGCATATGTTAGCATAAGGGGCATATACGATGCTTGAGGAAATGTTCAAACAAGAATTGGCTTTGCAAGCGATTTTTTTATTTTTTATTTTTTTTTATCATTTCTATTTTCTTCAGTTTATGTCATGAGAGAAATTAATCTAACCTTTATTACCTGAATGACAAGTAACAGTTACATGCGCGACCACTTATCAAAATGTCAGTTGTATTTTGGGTTCATTAAAGAGAAGAGGAAAGTAAAACAAAATATCTATTCCGTCAGTCTAGATTTTCGTAACCATCCAAAAAAAAAACTTTATCGCTGCAGCAAAATAATATAACTATTTTTTATCACAAGAAAGCAAAATGCATAGAAGAAAAGTTGAGTCACGTGTAGTTACGAAATTTGGGATACACGCCACTGGTGGGTTAAAGAAACAAAAGACATTTATATGAAGCTAAGAATTATCATGATGAGTGAGTTAGCTATACTAAAATCAGTGCTGAATTCGCTCCCTTTTTACGCATATCTGAGTAAGATACTGCTGTTCTTCATACGCGCGGAAATGTCCAAAATGCGTATGAAAATGTTTTAATACGACTTGGAAACCGATCTCGCATTGAGAAATTTCCAGGTCTTATTACTACTTTGTACAAGAGCAGTACTTTCACAGATCCAGTTGTTCTATCTATCTATCTACCCCTCTCTCTCTCTCTTTCTATTTCTCTCTCTCTCTATTTCTTTCGTTCCATTCTCCAGAAAGTGAATACGAGTGAAAGTGTTCGTTACGAAAATCTTTCTCTTACCTTTTCCAAATTGAGATCAGGAACCACGTCTGCCTCGGAACAGGAACCAAATTCCAAAAATTCGGGAATGCCAAAGGGAGTCACGCAAGCCAAGTGTGCTAGGAGAATCAGGCACACAGACGCTGCCTTAGAGACTTGTTGGTCGCTGTGCCCCATCCTGGCGAATGTTAACCTGAGGAGAAATTACGGATAGAATTGTTAGCAAATACTTCTAAGTTTGGGAGAAGCTTGAAACTAAAATCTGAGAGCAATGTAGCATTTTCACTTTAAAAAAAGGAAGAAAAATGACATTCGAAAGGATATATTGGATGTTAAAAGACGTACGAAGCTTTATGCGTCTTTAGAGGGTTCTCTCAGTTACGCAAGACGCAAGACGTTTTCTCTTCTTGCTGTTGTATAATTTCTTTTGTACGCTTTTTAAGCGCAATATTCATTGTATATTCTTAAAAAAAACTGTTCTTTATTTCTCAGAAAAAAAACAGTAGCATTAGAAAATGCAGGGAAATTCGTAATCAACGGCTTTAATAACAAATTCGTGATTGAACAAATTAAATGTCACGAAATTATTATCACATTTTTTTCCTTATACGGGATAAAGTTATCACTAAATGAAATCTATTTTTGGCATCTCGAAATGTCACAGCCCTAGATAAACATTCCATCGGGTCCTTAGAATTACCTGAGTACACGAACCTGAAGCTTAAGTGAGTCTGGAAAGCATTTTTATCCTTTTCGGTATTTTCCCTTTTTTGGTATCCATTAGCCTGAGAATTGTAGTTCCAAATGCTAATATACTTACAAAAAAAAAAAAAAAAAAAAAGGACAATAACGAAATCAATGACGATGATAATTATGATAGTTTAGATCCTGCTAATAATTCTGAAGTAAAAGGCCATGAAATATACCATAATAACGAAAGGCAAACTGAACGCTTCCTGAATCCAAACTTGTTTTCTGGACCGCGTCCGAAGAGACTTCATTCTTAGATAAACTTGTCCCTTATTTGGTCTTTTGAATTTTCCTTTCTAAAATCTTCCCACTGCGCTGGCATGGGAAGAATGCCTTAAAGATGCTTTTGATTAAAGAAATGAGAACTGAATGCTTATCGACGTATCAGTTAATGCTACACTATTATTTAGGATGTCCATGGGACACACCTATTTAATATGATTCTTATTAAAGGAAAGAAAGAAAGAAAAAACAGAGAGAGAGAGAGAGAGAGAGAGAGAGAGAGAGAGAGAGAGAGAGAGAGAGAGAGAGAGAGAGAGAGAGAGAGAGATAGATAGATATAGATATATAGATAGAGAGAGAGACAGAGAGAGAGAAAGAGATAGATAGAGTGAGTGTGTGTGTGTGTGTGTGTGTGTTGTGAAGAGAGAGAGAGAAGAGAGAGAGAGAGAGAGAGAGAGAGAGAGAGAGAGAGAGAGAGAGAGAGAGAGAGAGAGAGAGAGAAAGGGCATTGACCACTTAATGACCTACCATTCAAGAGACCCTTATTAGCGCTATCATTGTGAATCTACCACCATAGTTTCCATATTTGTTCAGCCTCATGGTTTCC